GGTGCCTCCCCGCCAGACATTCCCTCCGGCAATCTGGATAGAAATTGACTACATGAAACCAACTTACATCGATTAGAAGCCGTATCTTGCGCTATCTCCAACCATGCGCAGTGGGGATCTCGCGGGCTCCATCCAGGAAGGTCAGCAGCACTGACCGGTCAAGAGTTCGTCACCGGTCTGCTTTCGCCAGTCCGAATTGGGTACGAAGAGCAGCGCTCTTCGGCAAAAATGGTTTGGCATGCCCAACACATGTCCCAACCAACGCAGCCTCTGGTACTGGACATATTCCTCAATAGAAGTCCTCATAGCATAACCAAAAACTCGATTTCTATTTGCCTTGCCTTGCACTCTCCGACGTCGGCCTACACGAGCTATGGTCCTGAACACCTGGAGATGTCTCAGTTCCGCTGCTCGAACAGGCCGAGTCTCACAGTCATACAACAAAACAGCCCGCTCTGTAGCCTGGTTCACGCGTCCCCTGATATTCATGAATATACCGCTTTGACGCCATAGGTGTCCCAGATTAGCACAGGGCGCGATCCGGGCTTTCAGATTCGTGCATATTCTCACCTGTCACATCACAGTCAGAACGAATACAACGTCCAAGGTACATGAAACATTCCACAACTTCGAGTGTCTCTCCGTGGATTGTAAGTGGCGAGTTTAGTCCAGGAGTATGACCTTACACTTTGTGGGTCCAAAGGAGAGTGGGTGAATTTGGTCAGTTCATCCAAAGACACATCACCTTCTTTCGTCTGCATATTCCTGATCGACAAGGTTTTCGTCACAGACTAGTTGAACACCAGGGTTTCGATGACCTTCCAGCATTCGTCTCATTGTCTCATCGATCACGAGTTTAAATAAAAATGGAAAAAGTGAGTATTTTTGACCGACACCACCTTGTGTACGGAAGATTTTCGAGAGCCCTTTCCCATGTATTATGTTCACAAACTTCCGGGCATTCTTTGGTGAGCAAGCGTGTCAAAAAGAACGGACCGGTCAACCGGGTTGACTACGCCTTGGAAATGCGGAATACTAAAGTCGTGGGTCGTTTGTACGCATGGCGTTGTTGTAGCACCCGACGGAGTGTGAAGATTTGGTCAACACAACCCCTACCAGGTCATAATTTTGCTTTCTGCCCTCGACTCAACGTTTTACGAGCTACCATAAAGCGACGAAGCACAGGTGATACCGGCAGTTTCGTTACGGTCGGGGTCAAGGTGATTTCTCTATGGTTACCACACCCACTACGAACCCCTTTGTTGATAATGGGCACTATCCCAGACTCTCCCCAGTTGTCCGGGTTAGTTTCGTTTTCCAAAATGCAGGCAAATAGATCAGATAAGAGCTGACTGAGGAGTTCACCCCCATCTTTGGACAATGGGGGTGATAGACCATCCGCACCAAAAGCCCGCTGGTGCTCGATAGAACATATGCACTCATAAACCTCCAAGCTCACAGTCCAGAGTTCTACGTCAACTATTGACTCCAAATGAGTGGCAGCTGGTGACTAAGATAACTGTTTCAAGATGTTCGCTCCATTCCAGTCCTGGTGGCCTTACTCACAAGTGGTTTCCGGGGACCGGTCACACGGATCAAATGAAATAGTCTTTGGGAATTACCAGCCTTTCTGAGCTCTTCCATTTCCTAGGCTTTCTGTGTCCACCACACTTCACGGTCGTCTCGCACGCTTACTTCCACTTGACATCTGGTAATTCGTCGCATCAAGTTATGTTCGCGACCGGCTGAGATATTTTTCCGAGACATGAGCAGTGCTACCGTTTGGTTTGATAGCCAGTGCGTGAGCTTGGTAGTAACGTGCCACAAGCAAAACTCCCAGCGTTATGCAAAGAGGTGGCGATCTTGTCCCAGTATGATTTCGCATCTGATGCTGGAGCATTTGAAAGAGACTCTAGAAGACGATTCTGTTAAATTCGTTTAACATCCGCATCTGCCAGTCTTTCAGTTGCCAAGCAATTTGTCCGCACATTACGCGGCCCTGGAAAACGTAAGGAGAAGCGATTCCGGACGAGCGCGTGGTCGAAATCTACAAATGTGTTCCAAAACGATCAGCAGTCAGTTACTGATCCGCGCCATTCATAACTGATGGCAATTTGATCGCTTTGATTTCGTGGCCGGCGTGCCGTTAGGGGATACCATGCGGACAGACCACTATGGCTATTTCGGAAGTTGGTACTGCATAAAAACAGCCTACGGTTAGCACACATATTCCGACCCCCTACAAGGAGGACCAGAAGAATTTATTTGTCAGACCTCCAACCACTGACCAACCTGTCCGAGCGAGTGTCGCTCGGACACCGCCCAGTATAGCTCAGTGGGTCACCAAGGTACACAAACCGTCATTCCACGGTGAGGTCCAGTCTCTTCATGACCCTAGAATGACCCAACGCGCAGCATTGCACCCATCCAACGTGCCTCTTTTACGCAATCTTCTGCCTGTTTCCCCTCCTCCAAAAAGCCGCCCATATCTAGCGCATATTCAAACAAGGGATTGACCACAGGTGTGATTCTTCCTAGTTTTGTGGCAGCTTTGGTCTTTCGGAACTTGCGTGTTTCCACATGTGCGCAATTCGGTGCCGAATTCCGACCACATCAGATAACATTAATTAATGGATATATGTTATTCCCACAAGTTCAACTGTTTCCATTTGTCGGTACCCTGATCATTGGTGGAGAACCGCATAATGATGACTGCGGTGATAGACCACAACACGTCCCTGTCACATTCTGCTCTGCTCACGTTAGCACCGCAGTTGCTCGAGAAGCGCAATGTTCGCCTACGCACACGTGAACAGTAAATCATCCTTTCCTTCCACCCACAGTATATCTCTATCTCTAGCCCTGCTGAGCTGTTTCAGCTGTATCCATGGTTGTGAGAGGCAAGTGGTAGACGTGTTGGTGCGTTGCCGTTCTCCAGTGCAGTAGACCGAGTGACTAGTGGATCTGTTGTTCAACCCTGCTCTGTGTCCACCCGAGATTAAATCACACAATAAAGAGTTTGTTTTCAGCCCGCGCTGTATTAACAGGCCCCCTGAATTGCATTTTTGGGTTTACGATGCTTTCATGTGTGTGTAGGCGGACCTTGCTTCTTTTGAGCATCGATGGTGCAAACGTGGGCGGAGCCTAATGTGACGGGGCGTGTGGCGATCTTTCGCCGCCCCCGGTACAACTGCGAGATTGAGTACACTGGAGATGGAGGCTTACAAATAGTGACGATGAAAAACACTGGTGCATTACGGCGAAAAACGGTGTTGAATTACGGGACAGGTAGTATAGCGACACGGGTGATATTCGGATATTGATGTAGGATGTATTCACAGAATTTTCGCTACGCCTAGCTGCTAAAAGCAGTTCGCCTACGCTACATCTAGTAAGTATTCTGTCGTTTTACGTCGTAAACGATAAGCAGCCACCCTACAAATAGT